AGTCAAAGTAAACTGCTTTAGTAGAATGTAGACATTTTAATATTCTATAAATTTACTGTACAGTAAAATAAGCTATCAAATTTGCATTGTTTAAAATTTTTAAAATTTACATATTTATTGACTATGATTAAAAAATGCAAGTTCTATCCAAAATCATATTTGAGTGGAAATAATCCGGCTACTATTTTTTCTGGCAATGTTAGCGTAGGTACATAGTCACGTGATATGGTAGGTGTAGTTGCGCGTGATACTGGGGAAGTGGGTGTCCGGAGACTTTCCCCTTAGAAGTCCCCCAAATTTGGGATCATGCGATTATGCGATGAGAATTATGATCCGGTCATTTCAAAATTATGCGTGTGGCAAAAATTCTAAATTATGCAAATTATGCGGCCCCGAAATTAGTATTAAAAATCACTTTAAAAGTTTTTCTGACCAATCAAGTTTATGAAACCCGCTTCTACGTATTATAAAAAATTTCCTTGTAAAATTTTGGCATAAATAATATTTTCGAACCCTAACCTAATGGTAAGATCCTATCCCTAATATGGTGTGAACTATAGATGCTGATTAAACTAAATAATGCTGGTGAAACTGGTGACTATCTAAAATCTGATTGGCTGTTACGTTAAATTTCACCAGTTTCACCAGTTTCACCAACAACCATCTAGTCACATCAAATCTGTTATGGGCTAAAAGAGATGCTATCCTGCTCCAACCGGTTTGCTATGCAATAAATATCAAGTTTGTGCGCAGATTTTGCAATCACAAATCTGCCCTAGCACCAGCTATATGTAACGTAGCACGATCAGAAAATTTCAAAACAATAACGATAATAAAATCTTTATTAAATTTGGTCAAATTTTACAATTAAAAAATTCTTGTTGATTTGAAAGCTAGTAACATTTGTCTACAGAAACTTACTTCGAAGTCAGATCCCTTAAAAATGATATATTTGCTTCCAAATAAGCCTATGGGCGTCCAAAATTAATGTGCACTTTATACAATATATTATGAATTTATACACTGTATAGTAATAACATAGGCTCAGAAAATTGGCTTTTTATCTCGAAATAACGAACATGGGCGTACTCAAATAACGAGTAGACGCCCGCTATTTCGAGTTTTTACGTACCTATCGTATTATTAAACCATGACTATTCAATATCTTAAAAATTCTTTAAGATCATTAAATAAACCCTATTACCACCAAAAGCCCATATGGTATAAGGTTTATCAAGCCAATCAAATTAATAATCATCCTTCTTTTTTTTTGTACTATATAAATAACCCTGATCTCTATAAAATCCTTTTGTGGTTAGGTTTGCGCGAATGTTGTATTCCTTAACATTAACAAATTTGATTGGCTTTTGAGTTTGACACTATTGATCGAAAATGGGATAGATATTTTTGGGTCATAATTTATGAACCAAGGTAGAAATCCCGATTCCCAAACCAAATTATGTATTAATGTCATGATTCCAAAAAGTGGTTTGGGCTGCGACCCTACTCACAACTTCAACACCCCTTGCACGCGCTTTGACTCGAAGGTTTCGATCATTTGTAAGCAATACAACGGCTTCATTATTATCGCTTCCATTTTCCGTTTTGCTATGAAAACCGTTATCCCCATGATTCTTGGTATGCCACAGACAGATGCCAAGAATAAGATCATCCAAATTTTTCTTTTTATCTTCACCATCGCCAAAATCAAATTCTTCACTAAATTTAATTCCAGATACCAATTGCCTTA